GAGAGAGAGAGAGAGAGAGAGAGAGAGAGAGAGAGAGAGAGAGAGAGAGAGAGAGAGGAGAGAGGAGAGAGAGAGAGAGAGAGAGAGAGAGAGAGAGAGAGAGAGAGAGAGAGAGAGAGAGAGAGGAGAGAGCGAGAGAGAGAGAGAGAGAGAGAGAGAGAGAGAGAGAGAGAGAGAGAGAGAGAGGAGAGAGAGAGAGAGAGAGACGAGTGAGTGAGTGAGTGAGAACAAGAGAGCACACTCTCTCGGTAGTCTCGGTAATGATTTGCTCGGGCGGCAGAGATAAGTAACTCTACATTCTCCGGAACAGAATGCAAGTACATCATTTAGAGTCTGAAAACAGAGTTTTGGTATTTGACCGACTTTCAGCGCTGCTTCGAGCGTATGCCAGCGACGTTGTTTGCCCCCACTCCTCTCGTGTGAGCGATGGCACAGTTGTCGCACAAACGACTGGACAGCTCCTCTGCTGCGACGTTCCGCACGAGTTGACTGTTACGGTAATGACGCACTTGCGCGGGTCTAGCCGGCGGGCGAATGCTTTGACTCGTAAAGGCTTGTTCGTTGCCAGAGTTACGCCTGCTTGTAGTCGTTCTTCATAACGAAAATGGATAATAAAGGACTGTTTGGCCCCCAGTCATTTGTAAACTTAGCACGATAGTGCCCCGTAAAAAATATGTCGATTGGTCTCGGCGAGGTGTCGCAGTTGGTGTCTTGTTCTGTGTTTCTAGTTCTAGTTTCTAGGAAAGGGTGAGTATGTTGGCGTGATTGGACGACATCGTGGTAGGTGTGTGTTAAAAACAGGGGTTTGACTCCCTCCGCATCATGGCGAGGGTTACGGCTTGATATCATGAGATGTCTTAAGTCATCATCATAATTGTATCGTCATCATCACTGGATACATCACTGCATAATATATGCACTAGATACATGACTGAATCATCATTATCATTACATGCATAATTTCTGCATCAAACAATGTCTAGTTGGCTTGAAGCTCGTCAAGTGAGATTTGCACATTCCGTGTGGTCGGCCAAGAAATAAAACATAATTGGGACATTATTAGAAGAAAATCTTCATGCTTAGTTTACGAGGTTCATTATGCCAGAAGGTACTGGTTAAGCGATGTGGTAATGCTAAATAATGATTACATTTGCATAATTGTTGTAATATAGCATATGAATACATATATGATATAGATATGCATATGATAGAATATAATCAATATAAACAACTGTAACTAAGTAAATGTAACTAAATCAACATAAATATATGTATGGTTTTAAATAGACGACATTTGATATTGACATCAAAACACAATTGTGGTATTGTGAGTACAAAGCTCTTACGTTGAGTAAACGGTCTTTGATCTACTACAAGGTGCTGGCTAAATGATGTTGCAACGTTAAGTAACACTTATTTTGACGCTACTGGATATATAATAAATGCCATCAACTCATAACCAGAACTTTCAACTCTTTATGTCAAAAATGCAAGATCCGAATGCGTTTCTTCTTATATGAAAATTGGGGCCTTGGCCTCAGAGTGCCAGGGACACATGTTGGTCTCCGCCCAAAGCTATGTGCGAGCTCGGATGATATTTCGTTATTTATCATCGTCACGTTCTCTCACATGGGAGACACTGACACAGGGACACAGGGACAGGGACACTGTGGTGTTGGCGATCTGTAACATGATTCATGTTTCATGCACATCACTGGGCATGACGTCCTTCAGGAGCATTGGCGTGTTCGCCAGGCTAATATCAGATCAACATTTTGTTCTTAAAAACAAGGCATGGCTGCTGGACTGATTTGCTAGGAAGAGAATATCCGGCTTTGTCTGGCTTGCTGTCGCCCAATCAAAACAAGTGGTTTCTGGAACAGGCGTTATCGACCTCGTTGCACGAAAAACGTAATTTCCCCGGAGCCAGGTGCAGCGTCTTCTGTGACCTGCATATAATGTATCGTCTCCTGTGACCTACATATAATGTATTGTCTCTTTTGACCTGTACATAATGTATGGTCGCCAGGCTGTTTGGAATCTGGCGTGGTCAACTGCAGGGCAACCAGGTGGATGTTGTCCAGCCTACTTTGCTGAGAAATGCGCCTGTCGAATTTGTAACAAACGCCCTGCAAGAGTGCTGCTTGGTGCTGCCTGCTGTTTTGCTCTGCTTTGAAAGCAACAGGAAATTCACAAATGTACACGCCTCGGGCATTAGAGCGCGTAAACATTTTGAGTGAGAGGTTTAAGCTGCAACAAAGCGGTTTCAGTTCATGACAGACCTGTAACGTAGGTTACCTGTGACCGCAAACTACGTATAAATGGATGAGAATTACCGCGCATGCCTGACCAGATCCATCGAATATGCGCGATCGATCGCAAAGAGAGATGCAATGGGCTCAGCTCCCTTTCTCACTTGTTCATCATAAGGCTGACACCGCCCACCGTCACCAGCTAAGTGTTTCCCTGAGTCGTCGAGCGAGGGCCCCTTAATGGCATCGCAAATGACGAGCCCCCAGGGCGTGTCCAGACTTGTGAAGGATGCGGTGAACGGAAGGCCCAGTGTGCTCGGCCTCAGTTCCATGACCGTTCTCTTGTCGGTGAGGTCGGCGCAATTCTTGTGGATGATATCTACGAGGTCGTTAACCTTGGCTTTAATCTTATCTTAACGCGGGGGTTCTTCCGACCTCCTTTCTCCCCCGGTGTTCCTTTCGTGACGGCTGCATTTCAATCGTCTTACCTGCTACCTGGGCCTGCCTTGCTAGGCTTTTGGGAGGTGTCAGAAGAATCACTGCCTGTTCAGGGCAAACGTGCCGCACGACGCACTTCACCCGGCCGATCCTGGACTGGAGTGAGTCACTAACTGATATGCTGTCTTACGACTGACTACGTTTAGGTGTGCGTGCGGGCGGCCGCGCGGGCGGGCGGGCGTGCGTGCGTGTGGTGCATACGAATTGCTACGGACGGATCCAGGAGCACTGGGGGTAAGAGTTCGGATACTTAAAGGGAATGTTCCACATGTGAAGGTGTTGAAGCAAGCGGTCAGATTCGATGAAATAAGCTCACTTATACCTGATAGTATAATGCTTTTGGAAAGTCTGTCGTAGATAACAACGACCTCTTTGTTCAGTGAATATGCTCCTCAATACGTCATTGGTTGACTGCACCA